GTGCTTATCTGGATGTTGGTTGCTGGAGAGGATGGGTTCTGGTCTTTTTGTTTCCTTCATAGCTTTTTAATTGTCTCTTTTGGATGGTGTGAAAATGTGGTTTATCTCTATGTGTCTATTGATGGCTGATTTGTCTCAATGCCAAGCAACCAAGAATTCCCCAGGATTTTTGGATTTAGCTTGATTTAGGATGTTCACACTTTCCCAGTTGAAACTATGGTTGAGTCTAACCTAGGGGTGTCAAACTGCCGGCCTGTGGGCTGGACGCGTCATCCCGGAAGCTGCAATGGCAATGGCAAAACTCTCCTGATACGTCTCGCGATGTCACATGATGTCGTGAATTTGACATGTCTGGTCTAACCCATGTATTGTAAGATATGACTCTAACCCATATCTTCTGTTCTGTCCCAGCCTACGTGAGTCCTTGTTAAGCTCACAAGGAGAAACCCCTCTTCCAACAAGCAGGCTGGAACCGTAGGAAAAAACCAATCCCCTTTTATTATTCACAGACCTGAGTCAATGTCCAAGGCAAACAAAACACAGTTCACAGAAACTTGATCCTCAACACAAACGGTTGCCTTCGGCAACAAGCACTTCCCACACCTTCCCTTGTATTATGCAGCCAAGGCGTGGCTTCCTAATGCCTTCTCCTTTGCCTTTGGAGCCGCCCCAGGCTCCTCGTCAGACTGTAAGTCTTCGAGCTCCTCAGAGCATTCCTCTGACTCTGATGTCACTCCAGGCCCTCCTCCTCCTCCTCCTCTGATTCCTCTGACTCAGCTGCCGGGTCCACTGGCTGGCGAGGAATCACAACATCTTCTGACTTGTAGTCGGTGTTCCTAGATGTGCCTGTGTATCCTACATAGTGGCTATTGCAGTCCTTACACTGTATGTTATAGATCACTGGTGTCAACACGTCATGTATCGTGACTCTTTTTGCATTGCTGCAATGGGGTGGGCACGGCTTCAGTATGATGGGTCACGGGCCGGCAGTTTGAAACCCCTGTTATAAATGATTCCTGTTTTTTTTTCCTTTTTCATTGGACTGCTTGGTTTACTTAAGATGTTTTGGAAGGTTTTAGTTGGTTTGCGTGCTATGGTGATGCCTTGTCATTACAATGGTCTGTTGGTCTGTTTATGAGAGGTTTTTTTATTATTTATGCCATAGCAGTGTTCTTCTTTTCATTATAATTACTTGGGTTTTCTCATAAACAACTTTCTTCTTTTTCCCAATGATGTTTGCAATATCCTGTTTTCATTCCTTGCTTAGAACAATAATTTCAGTGCACATTGAGGTTAAATTAAATAACATACTGATAAATCCTCTTCAGTAGTTAAGTTGGTAACAAGGAAGCTGTAATAACTATTAATGGGCTTTTCATATTCCTATTCATTGAAAAATATTTGAAAATAGCTATGGTCACCTGCCAGGATTTTTCTTTACAGGAAGTAGAAAATTGCTTTATATAACTATTTCCAAAATAGTGACCGTGATGTCATGAACTATGCTTTAAATACACTATTGTAGTAAATCCTCATCTTTTTCATGAAAAGTCTATTTCTATCAGTCTAGATTAAATGTTTTAAATTCATTCATGAGGAAAATGTTTGATATATTCTTAGGTTGTATAGGTAAAATACGTTTAAATCTAAAACTGAAATCTTACAACAGTTTCATATTATTCTTATTTTAGGCCGATAGCCCAGAAGACATGCATAGTTGGATTAAAGCAATTTCTGGTGCAATAGTAGCCCAGCGGGGACCTGGAAGATCAGCAGCTTCCATATGTTTTTAAACAACTTAAATTATGACACTTCAGCAGTAATCAGTACTGCACTTATTCTTTTTTTAGTCAACCCTTTCCTAGATCTGGGGTAACACATTTGCATGAATTACAACTTGCATAGACTGTTACGTTTTTGATTCAATGCTAATCTTAAAAATACTCGTATTTCTGTCTTTCTGTATTATCTTAATATTTATATGTTAAACTCTCCTCTCTTAATTTGACCACAAAGAAATTTGTGAATTTATATGATCGTTTTCTGAATTTTGTGCTGGAGACGTCCCTAAACTGATTTAAAGCACCTTGGAATAGAATTCTTTGTAACTTTCAGTTTACAGGCCTCTTAGCACAGAACTAATCTGTGCTTTCAAAAGGATTCTAGATTTCCTTTTTGAACAGCTGGACTTACAATGGCTAATATTGCCAAACTGTTATAAGTGTCAGTAATTATGTAATTGTTCCATAGATCAGGGCTTTTCAACCAGTGTACACGTACCACTTGTGGTACATTAACAAGTGGCAGGCGTTACACAGCCCTGTCTAGCCAAGTGTAGTGGGAGAGGGAAAGAGCCAGCACATGCAAGGACTTACTGTGAGAGAGTCCTCTGCAGCAGCAGAGTTGCTGGGGTGAGGCAAAGGCCCCAGGCTTACTTCTTGCTCACCCTCCCCCATGAGAGAGGAGGAGGGGGACAGAGACAGGAGAGGCTATAAAAGGAGGCAGTTTGGGTGGGAGAGGGAGAAAAAAAACAGCAGCCTTGGGAGGAGGCATAGTCAGCTCTAGCTGCACTAAAAGGAAAGAAGAAGGAGGAGGAGGAGGATGGGGGGAGAGGAGAGGAGATCAAGCAGGCTGGCCATGAGCTGATCTACAACTGCTGTGGCAGCCACCTGTGCTGGCAGCAGCAAACAGGCAAGAAATGCAGTGGGGGAGGGGTCGCCTTCCAAGAGGAGTGAAAAAAGGCAGCAATGGCTGGAGGTGAGGCAGGGAGGGAGGGAGATGGAGAGTGGAAGGATTCTTATGTGCTTTTGTGACTTTGAAGTCCTGGGATTTGTGCAATGTGGGCTTTCTGTTCTTAAGGAGTGTTTGGCAATTTCTATTTGGCTGATGGCTCCTGTTAGCTTCTATTGCTCTGCTATTGTTAGCTGTAAGTTTTGCTGCAAGGGATTTTGAAGTATTTTCTCCTGAATGGATTTTGCCTGTAGCATTCCTTTACTTAAGAATGGAGCCATTTGGCAAGGCAGCCGGCAGCCAGTGCTTACTACATTTTTTTTCTTCCTTAAGTGCCAGCTGCTTAACTTTCTTTTCTAGCCCCTTTTCTTAAAGGGGAATGTGCCTTTTTAAGCTAGTTCACTCAGCAGCTTGTCTTTTCTGTCTCTGGAGGCTTTTCCTTGTTTGATGACTATATGGAAGAGAGAAAATATGGGGGGGGGGGTGTTCAAATTCTTCCTTCAGAAGGAGATGGGAATGAGAAAGAGGGAAGGAGGGAAGTTCCGCCTTAGCACTTGGCCACCAGCAGCCCTGCCATTGACTTTGCTTGTCAAAAGGTTGCAAAAGGGAATCACATGACCCTGGAACACTGTGACCATCATAAATATGAATCAGTTGCCAAACATCCAAATATAAATCACATGACCTGGGCATGCTGCAATGGTCATAAGTGTGAAAAATGGTCATAAGTCATTTCAGTGCAATTGCAACTTTCAACAGGTTTTTTGTTATTTTCGGTCATCAAGTTTTTGACACCTTGCTAGGTGGTACTCAAATATTGCCATATCCTAAAAGTGGTACAATTGGTGAAAAGGTTGAAAAGCCCTGCTATAGATAAATAAATAGAAATTATCCTTCTTTGAGAAGGGAGCAAAGAAGAGATCCATGGTACTATCTGGTCAATCCTCGAGTTGTTTTGCTTAAAATAACATTTTCATTTTTCCTTCCCTTTCTAATATTTCATCTTATTTTTAATACTATGTTAATATAGGAACATTAACATATTTTAACAAATGTCATATAGAGATTATGTTACAATGTTATGATAATTCACCCTACAAGCTTTGTTAATATATGTAGAATATGAAATTTCTCTTTTGCCTTTTAACTACTGTTTCTACTGTTGTTCGTCCATCGATTTCGATGAAGACCTTGACATCTTGTGGATTGTGGGACATCAACGGTGTGTCCGTAGATGGCTGATTAAACCGATGTTAGCACGGAATGTTCTGCCACATACTGAACAGAGAAATGTGGACACTGTTGCTTCAGCATTTGCAGCTCTGGCTTTACGGAGTGCTCGCTTCTCTTGTGCCAAGATTGTCCTCCTGTGTTCATATGTCTGGCACCCCTGGTAAACCAGGGTATGCCATGTCGGTCGATCATGTGCCAAGAGTTCCCAAGAGATGGTGTCGATATCCAGGGACTTGAGAGATGCTTTCAGCGTGTCTTTGTATCGCTTCTTTTGTCCCCCGTGCGATCGCTTTCCTTGAGACAGCTCACCATAGAAGAGCTGTTTAGGGATGCGATGGTCTACTATAGTTATTACGAACAATGCAAAAATGTATGTACACATTTTGACCATGAAGCCTATGATGTAGTATTTACATTTATGAAGATAGCCATAATTAGGATATGATACTCTCTAGAAAGTTGAATCAGTTTTATTTTTCAGCACTTCTGGCACCTTCTTTCAGGTTTTCTCCCAACCCATTGAATAGCCAGTCTGTGTGAGAGCATGATACTCAACATTGGTTTTTACCAAGATAAGAGCTTTGTTGGACTAAAGTAACAGCTTGACTCCTTGAAACTGACTACTTGACTACTGGAAATTTTGAAAGACTGTGCAATTGTAGGGAAATATTCTCTTTACAAGGAAAGTAATACTGATAACTAAAAATCTGAGAGAGATAGATAGATATAGATATACAGTAGATGTAGATGACGTAGATGTAGATATAGATATATAGTAGATATAGATATAGATAGATATATTGTTGTATGTTGTTGTATGTCAGCTTGGGCAAATAACATAAATCAAATTGAAGTAAGCAAGGAGAGTGATCACATCAAAAAGTGGACAGGGGTGCAGAAATAAAAGAAAAAAGAGCTATCCCCCATGTCGCAGCTTGTCTAATGATTCTGTTAGTCAATATCAGGTATGCTTAATTTATCATTTAAATTTAATTGGTGGCATATTTAATGAGATTTGATTTGAAGGGTGAGCTGGTGTATAGTTGGCTTGACTTAGCTCTGCCTATTTGATGCAATATCAGCCCAGACTGCAGGAATTGAGACGAATCACTGTGGTTTACTAGACTTATCAAGAGATTCTTCTCCTTCGGTGAGGGATCTGAGTATGCACATCTTAAGTTAGGTTACAGGATCAGCATGAACATTTGTTCATACACAGGTTCCTCCATTGCCTTATCTGAGCTAGGCAGGATAATTATATGATGTAGAGAATCTGAAGCTCTTTAAGGCTCACAAGCACATATGGTCTCTTTCATGCTTCCATCTGAAAATCTTATGATTTCCATGACAAGCATGGGCAATTTTACTATATCACCAGTTTAAGTATATGTCATTAGCACATAAAGCAGAGCATCCTCATAATTTCATAATTAAGCATTGTGTAAAGATTACGAACGGGGAAGGTTTCTTATGTCTCTGTTCTCATAGTCAAATTATTTTCTGGTAAGGATTGGATTGGTAGCCATCAGACTCACTTATATTAGTGAAGGATCGATCCTTTAGACTTATTTGTGAATTCCAGAATACTCTGAAGGGTTTCCAGGTGAAAGGTTTGGAAACTGCCAAAATGCATTTACAACATCTTTAAATAAATGTTGAGCCATTACTTTCATTAAACTACACTTCATGAGAAAGAATGCTTGTTTTCCATTATATTTTTAGATACAGGTTGCCTGGCTACAATATCTAAATCTAAGTTGGATTATAGCAATTTGCCATAATTGGAGTTACTTTTAAGCTTGGCCAGAAAAATGCAATATTTGTTCTAAAGGAGCTGTACCAATTTCCAATTTGCTGCTGAGCTGTTTGGTGTGACTGTAACAAATTACAAATTTGTATGTGTGTTAGGTCCTAAAGTTCATTCCTTCTGTCCTATATATTTGATCAGACGTTTCGATCTTTTTGAGAAAATTCATTTGCTAGAAATTTGACGCTGCCACCTGAGAAAAGCCATTCTTGATAACAAGTCTGTGAAATTCCTAGCCCGTTGTGTTGCAGATGGCATTTAGCACAATAGATGCTTGTCTCCATTTCAAAATGCATCTTGTGGTCAGATTGGGCTTTTGAATCTTTTTTTCTTTTTCATCTGAAGTTCTTCTGTCCTGTATCTTTTTTGTACACATAATAGCATTTTATTATTTTAAAGATGTGGATATTCTTAGGTTTTCCCAAAATAAGGGTTCTTCTGGTTATGCAGCTTCTACGGTGAAACTATTTTTATTTCAAATTTCTTGTAAAATGTAACATATATTGTATCTTTCTTTTGGGCCGGCCGTTTCATGAAACAAAAGTGGGATAAAAATATTAAAATAAAAATAATAATTCACAGGTGCATTTTTTTCTATAAAAGTAGCTGCCCTTTCACCAAAATAATAAGCTCACTCTTAGTGTGCAAAGATAGCAATTTTATTGCAATGCATTGGAAGCAAAATACAATTTCCTATAATTTTAAATTAATGTAGTGACAAAATTCTTCTATTCTTATATATAGCATAGAATCCTAAAACTTTTCAATTTTGTAGCTCATCCATCTTTAGGGGTTATTTTAAAATTATCCTTTTCTCATTAGTTTAGCAGTTCCATGTAGGCTTATATTGACCCCTTTAGTCTTCAGCAAATTATTCAATTTATTAAAAGTCTGACAAAGTCTTAATATATCATTTAACTCCTCAGACAACAGAAGCTGCCTCATAAAGTGCTATTGGGTAGGAGAAAGAAGGATAATCTGCAATTATTTTCAGAAATAATTGAAGTAATTTTGCTTTTCAGAGCAAGAAAGGATGCTACACTAATATGATAGATTTATACGATTTATATATTAAATACATCCTTCCTGTATGAAAATACAGGTGCATATTTTTCTGTGTAGGTTGACTGTTAGAATTGGTATATCTTCTATGTCAGACTTTAATAAAATAAGAATGACAAACATGTGGAGAACATTTTAAAAGTTAGCTGTTTTCTAATGTCAAATAGTAAAATTATTTGAATAGCACTAATGGTTTTAATAAGAACTCTCAGATATTTTCATAAGGCTAACAACCATCATGAGGAACACAAATCTCAAGTGGGCTTTGGAATTTTTGTATAATGTGCTTAACAAAATTAAACAGCCTGTTTATATCATGATGTATTGGTGTCAGCAAATTGCATAAACACCTAGGAAAAAGCCATAAATATAAAGATCTTGACTACATAAAATGCTGTTTAGACTAATCTTCCTTTCCCTCATCCCCTAATATTGCCTGATGAAGCGCTCTGAAGATCTTAACATGTTGTTTTATTATTTCATTTGATTTTAGTTGCTAGTATAAAAGATAATATTTTTCTATAGATTTGAACCGTTTTATCTACGGAGTAACATGGATATGATTATTATTTTAGGCATCTATCTAGCTTTCATCATTTTAACCAGAAAACATAGTCAAATGGGGGAGGGGGGAATCCCTATTTTTGGATTTGATTCTCATCTTTCAGAAGTTTGAGTGGTCCCACAACAACATTAATCTTCTCCTGAGTTTCGTCCACGCCTCTCTTCTTTCTCATTAAACATCCCTGGTAGCATCGAGATGAATGATCATCTAGTCTACACACTACTAATTTACATTGTAGGTAAACTGAATTGTACTCGTTAAGGAACTTAAAGGAGTTGAATTGGAAACGAACTATATTGTTTCTTGGTGAGGACAGGCTTCTATAAGTAGAGTCTCGTGCGCATCTGAAAAATAAAAAAAAAGTTGTTTCAGGTATGCCTAGACGTTTACTTCAAATATTTTATTACAGCGTAATGATGTATATAATTACTAAATTTCTGCAGAGTAGGCTGACTCTGATGATTATGAGATGCACTAGAGAATAATGGAGAAAGCATATAATATTGGAATATCAAAATGAATAAATGAAACCCAAATTTGGGGCTCGTAAAAGTGCTTCAAGATATGTACTTGGGAGGGAAAGTAATATGTTGCTAGTACAGAGGACTGTATAGTAAGAGCAAGGCAATGGCCCAGTAGTAATAACTATTTTTTTATTTTCAAAATATGTAAAATTGACCATAATCAAAAGAAAGTTTGGTCATTATTATACATTTTGTGACCACTCCATTCAGCCCACAATATCCCTTTATTCTCCTTAGTTTTTCTATATGCGATTGAATTATTTGATATTAGCACATATTTTATCATTTGATATTAACATTTAATATTTGAAAGAAGTGAAATATTTGATACTAAAAGAACATGGCATTGTTTTGTTTGAAAATGCGTGGTTATAGTTTGCAAATGAACCCTGCCCTTCTTTCTATACTGTTTTAAGAAATAAGACATAAGAAGAAAATCTAACTCAGAATCTATGTGGCTGACACAACAGCAATTCCTTTGTGGACAACTTGGGATTATGGTTCTTACATATTTAATACACACTTACCCACTTCGGATTAAGTCATAGGTCAAGGTTCTAAAATCATTACTATCTGGAGACGCGACACATGTGTCTAGGAAGAGTATAACATTTGGATCAGAACTGTGCAGAGTAGCTTGGAGATATAAATTCTGGTTGAGTGAAACGTAGTATGGTGATCCCACAATTCTACGGCTGAATGATAGTGAGGAATAGAATGCCAGAGAAACATTGTAATGGCCAATTTTCCTTTGAGTCAGGTCAATCGCATTGTGAGCAATAAACATCGTCTCCACAATAGTGTTCTGCTTCATTTCACACAAAACATGAAATTGAAAGTTTTTCTTTCTTGTAATAATATAATCGGGGTTGATTGTCTTGATTACATTGTAATAAATTATTGTGTCATTATTCTTCGTCTAAAAAAGCACAGAAAAAAAGAAAAATTAATCATCAGTGTAGACATCAAAATACCCATTAAACACCACCAGTTTAAAGAGTGCTATTATTTCAGAATTATAATAACAAAAGCTATGTTAACAAAAGCCATGTTACCCATTACAATCATTTCAGTAGCCACAACCCTGGCTCTTCCACAACTCAGATGATGAAATAGGAAGTCAGTCTCAAAGACATAAGGATATCAATTTTTTTTCTCCTTTCCAAAATTCCCTTTTTTATTTTAATTGTAATATTGGTTCCAGTTAATGTATTTAAAGTTAAGCAGAACTTCTCAAACCCAATATCTGAAATTAACTTTAAAGTTACATTTTGTATTGTTAGACGCTGTTCCTGTGGCTCTTACACATCCTCAGGGCGGACGGTTCGGAGAAAAGCCGCCATCGGCGCCGGGATCCAACCGGAAGTCACATTTTGTATTGTTGATAAACATAACATTAGTTCATTTTAAATCCAAAACCAGAGTAAATTTTCTTATAATAATAGTTAAGACAGGAAGAGCGACAAAGCAGATAATTATTAGTTTTAACAACAACAATTAATTCTCACCCTTATCTCTGTGTTACAACCATAGAATGGTATATTAAAGTAAACATAATCGCCTCTGATTTGAGTTGAACATTCTCTATCTGAAGAGTTCAGGTAAACTTGCGATGCATTATAACCGACTGAATGGAGAAAAGGTATGCTGATCCATGCACTCATGTGTCCATCAGAACACAAAAGCCCTAAACAATAACACAGAAACGTTAAGCAAAATGCAAATACATCTAATTATTAGTATTATTTTAATTCATGAATCTGTTTTGGGACCAGATCAACTAATTAAGAAATATCTCTTCTACTTAGCCAGCAAAGGAGACTTTCACTTTCCCTGAGGGTAGAAGCATCCAGATAAAATAACACATAGAAAAGTGGGTTTAACAGAAACAATTACGAAATAACTCCATCTTATCCTTTTCAGGAATATGCAGTAAAAGGGAGAGAGAAGTCAATTTGTGTATGTGTTATATTCACAGGTCAGTAATACAAACCACCCAATCATCGATCAATTTTTGGAATACTTAATGTCAGTAAAAGAAGTTGATCAGAAGTACACTCATGGACCTTTGAACTAAAAAAGTAAACTAAAAAAATGGAAGATCACAAGCCTTAAAACAACAAATTGGTTTCAGTGAAACTGTACCTAGAATGTCAAATTCCACTTCTCTCTGGAAGCTAAACAATTCTTTTTATAAATGCTTATGTTCTGTATAATCAAAATAATGTTAGATGAGTCCTATCTGAATTCACTTCTTTGTGTATCAGTTTGTACACAATACAAGCTTAGTATTGTATTATCATAATATATTAAGCTCCAATCAAAACTAAGAAATAAACTGTTTTATCATGCCACAACTTCATCCCTACTATCTTTTCATAATTGTGTCAAAGGGTAAATGTCGTGCTTAAACCTTCCTCAATCTATAGTCCCAGCATACTAGGTTGGAGAAGCCAGTATTAGACAATTTGGCCAGACCAGTTATGTACATATATGATTCCAGGACTCTTCAGATTCTTACAAATATATTTTATAACTGAGATTCTAAAAAAGAAAAACTACAATTCTTGCATCTGTAACGCAAACTGGGAAACTGAAAATATAACAAAAGTAAACATCTTCATCAAACTGGTGGTTTAACTGTTCAATTTACAATAGCCGACAGACCTTTTTCTAACATCATAATGACAAGGAGAATATTAAAATGTTTAACTAGCTTTCTTTTTCTTTTTTATTGATTTAGGATTTTGTAAACTTGCCTTCACAAGTTTACATGCAATCAAGAAATTCTATAAATCTGGATCAAGAATCAGAGTGCACACTATGGTCAACTTGAATCCTTGCCACCCAAACCTATGGGACAATATATATTCAAGTGCTATATGTGAAATTTATTTTTGACATGTCAAATTCATTATATGAGACATATACTATGGTATTATAATCTATAGGAACTATGAAAAGGAAATAAATGCAAGATTTCCTGAGGGAAAAATGAAGATTTCAGGGGCTGCTAAGACAGATGTTCAAACTTCTGCACTTCTACATTTCTCATTCTAAATTTCAAAGGTAGACTCTAAAGTAGGAAAAAGGAGTAAGGCTATTATCTAAATTCAGTTTAAAGAGGACTGAAAGATTTACTTAAAATTAGGAAATCAGGAAAGCTCATTTGAAATTAAATATTCATTAAATTATTAAGCAATTATACCAACATTGGTCTTTGAATAGAACTACTTGATTAGGTTAATGCTGAAGTTTATTCGGTTAATGCTGAAGTTTATTCAAAATGATATTCAGGATTGCTGTACTATCTAATAGTACTATTAAACTTTAATCTGTTGCTTGATTTAGACATATAAATGGTGAAAGCATAATATTTTAAAATCGTTTTTAACTTTTTAAATCTTAGGTTTACAATCCCTTGCAGAGTAGAAAGTACTTCTTAGTCAAATGACTATGAAATGCCAGATTCTGGCATTTTGAAAACACACTAAATATGACAGTAGTAATTTATGAATGAGTCTTTAAGAGAAAACAAAGAGAAACCTTTATTCTACTATGCCTGCTGCTACTTTGATCCAAATTGAGGGGATGGGGGGGGGAAATTCATCATCTCTAACCCATATTTTTTACAAAGCAAATAAACATGCTTGATTCATATCATGTAGTGGATTCAAATCCTCCTACCACAATTCTTCCTGCCACAATACTTGTGGAACATTTGGGGGCTTATTCCTAGATAACTTAGATAACCTGTGATCTCCAGTGACCTGCTTAACTCTTTACAACTCATCAACTAAACAATATCAAAGAAAAAGAATAATATCTTACTCGTAGCTTTAGGAGCAGTAGTTGGTGTAGTAGGTATCGGTTCTGTGAATACAATAAAACAATTAAACATGATGATAATTACTTTTGTTCAATCTATATACTACTAAAACTCTTGGGTCTGTTGGTTTGTAATCTTAATTGGGTGAATTGGAAAGTATAGGGCAACAGTTATTGAACCGAGGTAACTCATATGGGCTAACTTACAGAATGCTAAGGCCCCTGGAGAAGTTG